TCACTGTTACTACCACCGCTAGAGCACACTTCTCGATCTCCGAATATTTCCTTTCCGCCCCTTGCATTATTTTACTCACGTAATAAATTGGAAATTGCACTGCACCTTCCTCCCTCAACAAAATCGAGCTTACCGCCAGTTCTCCGATAGATACATACAGCACTAGATCCTCCCCCGGAACCGGTTTAGCCAAGAGGGGCAAGTTAGCTAACACCTTTTGCAGCTCCTCGAACGCCTTCTGGGCCTCCTCCGTCCACTGGAATTTCGAGCTCTTTCTCAATGTTCGAAACAAGGGCCCGCTCTTTTCCGCCACCTTGGATATGAAGCGACTCAAACCCGTTATCCTACCCGTCAGAATTTGCACCTCTTTCACCTTGGTGGGTGGCTTCATCTTGATCACCGCCTTCACCTTTTCCGGGTTGACCTCGATCCCTCTCTTCGTCACCATGTACCCCAGGAACTTCCCCGACTTCACCCCAAAAGAACACTTAGCGGGGTTCAGTTTCATGCCATACCTCCGCAACGTTAAGAACGTCTCTTTCAAGTCATTCACATGATCAGCTTTCACCCTACTCTTCACCAGCATATCATCGACATAAACCTCCATATTCCTCCCCAGCTGCTCCTTGAAGATCTTGTCGACCAGTCGCTGATACGTTGCCCCTGCATTCTTTAAACCGAAAGGCATCACCACATAACAATAGGTGCCTCTGCTCGTAACAAAACTCACCCTCTTCCTATCCTCTCGCGCCAAAGGGATTTGGTGGTATCCTTGGGATGCGTCCATAAGGCTAAGCAATTCACAACCTGCAGTAGAATCGACCAACTGGTCAATTCTAGGCAATGGGTACAGATCTTTCGGGCACGCCTTGTTTAAGTCACGAAAATCAATACACATCCTCCACTTCCCCCCAGACTTAGACACCATCACCGTGTTCGACAACCATTCAGGGAACTGGATCTCTTTGACATGACCCGCCTTCAGCAACTTCTCGACCTCCTGCTCGATCACTTTATCCATCTCCGCGCCATGGTGTCGTCTTTTTTGTTTCACTGGTCTCACCGTTAAGTCGATGTTCAAACGGTGTTCTATCACCTCCGCTTTTATCCCTGTCAACTCCTCAGCCGTATACGCAAAAACATCCGCGAACTCTCTGATCAACGCAATCAACTTCGATCTTATGGGCTCCTCCATCTCCTTGCCTATTCGGAATTTCCTCTCTTCACACCCTTCTACCATCTGGACCTCCTCAATCTCCCCTCCTGGCTGCATCTCCACCTTTTCTTTCCCTTTATCCGCTCTTTCCTTCTCTTCTTTCGACCTCGAGCCCCCAGGTCGGCTCGGTACTCCCTCCTCCGTCTTCGCTCGCTTCCTCGAGAGCTGCTTATTATTGCTCACCGTGGTCTGATAGCAACTTCTCGAGGTAAGCTGATCTCCTGCGACCTCACCAACGTTTTCCCCCACCGGATATTTGATCGTCATGTGGTACGTCGACACGACCGCTTGGAAAGCATTTAAGCTAGTCCTTCCCATAATAATGTTGTACGAGGATTCCGCTCCAACGACCACAAACCTTACCATTCGCACCTTCCTCGTCACCCCTTGCCCTAAGGCAACAGAGAGGCTTACCTCTCCCATCGGCATCACCTCGCCTCCGTTGAATCCATATAAGGCTGTGGTCACCGGCTTCAGGTCAAGATTGAGCTCCTTGTTTATCTGCACAAAACAATCATAAAACATCACATCAACCGAACTCCCCGTATCAATAAACACCCTCTTCACATCGAAACCCGCCACTTCCGCCGTTATCACCAGCGCATCATTGTGGGGCAACACTACTCCCTCGGCATCTTCCGCCCGAAAACTTATCTCCGGCATTCGAGCAGTGATCCCCACCTCCTCTCTCTTCCTCTTTATTGCTCGAACATGGCCTTTCCTCGCATTGTTCGAGTCCCCATCTGTTGGTCCCCCCGAGATCATGTAAATCGTTCCTCTCTTCACCGGGCCTTGATCTCCCTGGCCTCCTCGATCTTGACTCCCCCGTCTCCTCTTGACTCCTCGATCACCCCTTTCATCTCGAGGATCACCATCCTCATCATCATCTCGATCACTCCGCTCCGCCGAATCTTCTCGACACTTCCCTTTATCCTTCCCCTTCGCCTTCCCTTCGCACACGAACTCCTTCAGATACCCTGCCCTGATCAGGCGCTCGATCTCATCTTTGAGGTGTCTGCACTCCTCCGTCTTGTGCCCATAATCCTTATGGAAACGGCAATACTTGTTCGACCTGGGCTGTGTCGGCCCCTCACGCCTCGACCTCGGCCACGTCACATCCTTGTCCTCTATCTTCCTCTCAATGGCCACCAGCACCTCGCCCATCCTCGCATTAAGGGGCGTAAAGTGTTGGAACCGCTTTCCCCCCAATACTGGTCGATCCTTCCACCTGTCTTCTCGCCCTCGATCAGTCCTGCCACGCCCCTCTCTTCTAGGCGATCTCCGACCCGGTGATGCTCTTCGAGGCGAGCTTGCCCTCCCCTTCTTTGGCTCAGGCTTAGCCAAATCCTCCAACTTAGCAAACTCAGCCTCCGTTTCCTCCAAATTAATGTACTTCTTACACCTCTTCAGTACGTCATCATACGTACGAGCAGGGGTTTTAGCCAAAGATGTACGACAAGGCCCCGCTCGCAAACTTCGTATCAACCCTCCAGCCTTCACCTCGTCCGAGGCCGTGGGGATCTCCAAACAAGTTTGATTGTATCGTGCGACATACTTATGCAATGATTCCTTCTCCCCTTGCCTCATAGCCATCAACGTCAGATATGTCTTTTCCTGTGCCACCGCACTCGCATACTGGGTCATCAGCTTTTCCGCGAAATCATCAAAGTCCTTGATGGATCCATGAGGGAGTTGCTGGAACCAATCGAGCGCGCCTCCCCTCAAGGTCGACAAGAATGCCCTGCAGCTAACCGAGTCAGAGTAACCATGCAACACAGCCAAATTATCAAACGCCCTCACATGCCTCGACGGGTCAGTGGTCCCATCAAACATCAAACTCATATCTCTGAAGTTTGCGGGCAATGGTGCAACCAATATATCCCTCGAGAACGGATGTCCTCGAGCACGCCTTTCAGGTCGACCATCCATCTTGGCCTGCAACTGCCTCACCTGCTCCGCAAGCCTCTCCATCTCACGATCTCTTAGGCCTCCATCTCCTCCATAGCTCGACACGTCCTCATCCACCATCGTTGGCCCAGCAGCCACTCGCGAAAGGCTTTGAGTAACCTGCTGAACCGCCTGTGCCGCCGCGTTCGCCACCATCTGCTGCATCTCCTGCCTTGTCATCACCACCTGCTGGCCGGGACGCGGTTCCCCCATCGGCAGCGGTACCGCTCCTTGTACCGTCACTCCTCGCTGCAGCGTCGCAGCCAGATCTGGTTGCGGCGGCGTTGGGGCCGCCGCGCCTTGAGGTGTGTGGATCTCTTGGGCCCGATTTGAGCCCACATCAGCCTCTGGTTGCACCGACGCGAATTCTACGCCTTGGGGAACAGGCGTCGGAGTCACCGGTGTGCGCAAGGGTCCAGAGAAGCCCGGAGGTGGGCCTTCTCCAAACGGCCTCGTCATCGTCCACGCCTCATCGAACGATGCTTGCAAATCTCTTCTAGGAATTCCGTCCGCCATAGCTACCAAGCTTCAAAAATCTCAGCACACCACTTTTCGAACGAAAGTCCCACAGACGGCGCCAAATGGTAACGCAAAACACTCCAACCGGCTTGAAATTGGTTTGCCTCCTTCTTCCTCGCTGATAGAACGTCGCGCTCCTGCACAAAAACTCTCACACCGGAGGGGTTTTCTGGTGAAGTGCCTCCGATGCTTAAGTCAGTATATGTTTGTTCAATTTTCCAAAGTAGAGAATGGATAAATCGTAAATCCTAAAAAAAAGACCCACTCCTCTATATATAGGAGTGAGATACCTGCCCTAAGAGCTGCCCGGCTATTTGGTGAGCTGTCCTGCCCGCGCTACCCATCCGTACACACACAGTACGCGTATTGTCAGAAAAGTCAGGGACGTCAGAGGTGGTTACTGCCACTTTTACTCTGCACCACTGGGTTCTCGCCACGTGCCCCCTTTCACGCTGAGGGGAAATATTCGTTTGCGTAGGCCGTTGGGATCCCTTGATATCACCCACGCGTCTATTCGCGTTCAGGTCACGCTCTCGACTGTCTCCTTCCCGCTACGCGCTCGATATGATCGAGCTCCCCCTCGCTAGGTCGATCCTCGACCAACCCTGCCATTCTGCTCGATCTCTTCTGCTTTGGTCGATCATCCTTTAGCCCACGCGGTTTTCTCCCTACTTATGCCGGTTTGACCGACGTGGTGAGCCGGTCTGTTCTTTAGTCATATGATATCCTATATCAAATTTTGATTCACTATTCATCCAATTACAAAATTTTAACTATTCATCACTTCCAACCACCTCTCTCTTACTTTCATATCTAATCAACTTTAGTTATTTTATTCTAAATATTATTTTAATACAAACTCAAAATTCCACTCAATCTTAACTTATTCACTTTTACAAAACTAACTATAATTAACCAAACAAACCAATCAAAAGTAAAAAATATAAGGCAAAATTGCATGGAAATGCACCACCTTTCAAATTTTTGCAATTTAATCACCACCTTTCAAAGTTTGCAACTAAGTACACCAGCTTTAGACATTTGGCAAATTGAAGCATGGCAAACGGAAACCGGCAGATGCTTTCTTACGTGGCATCGTCGGAAACTTACGTGGAACGCATAAAACACACGTGGAAGTCCAGACAAAAAGAACGAGAAAAAGAAAATGCCGCATCATCTTGTATATGTGTATAAAATCCGATTTATGCCATAAAATCAACCAAATTAATGAGAAAATCCCAAATCGACTAAGAACCCTAGCTTCTCCTTTCTGTAGAACGCGTACTCATTCTTTTCAAAGAATTCGGCTACTCTGAAGATGTCGTGTGGATCGTGTGGTAGTGGAGGTCGTGGCTCAACTTCAAATTTGGACCCTCCAGTTGACGGGCTTCAGTGCTTGCATAGAGTCCAACCAGATTTCTTGACCTCGAACACTGATACGAATCCGGCTAGGAGGTATCATCGATGTCCTCACAGAAATACTGTAAGAATTTAATTCCTTATTTGAAAAAAATTAGATTGGTTATGTAGTATTTGAATTACTTTAAACACTGAATTGGGAATTATTTCCAATTTATTGTGCTGCAAAATTGAAAGTTGAGAAAATTTAAACATTGTTATTGACATATTGCAGGCACGTGATTGTAAATTTTTCGTTTGGCATGATGCTGAATTACCACCATTTCAGAAAGCCTATTTTTTGAAGTTGAAGAATCAAAAAAATTTGTTGGAGGAACAATTAAAATGCAAGGATATTGTTGAAAAGCAACTCAATGAAAAGCTTCAGATTAAAAAAAAACAAGTTGCAGCAGTTGAAGAGGAAAATTGAAGAATTAGAGAGGAAAAATCATGACCAGAACAAGAGAATTGAAGAAGTGGAGTGGAAAAATCATGACAAGAACAAGGAAATTGAAGAATTGGAGAGGAAAAATCATCAGCAGAACAAGAAATTGAATTTTGAGAGGAAGTTTGCTATGATGCTATTGCTTTGTGTCTTTCTAGCTATGTTTAAGATTAATAGAATTTTTCCTAATGGTAGTTTGATGCTGAAATAGAGAATGGATGCTTTTGTAATTCTCTGTCTTCTTTTATGTCAAATGTTTTTGTAATGCTGAAATAGGAAGTTTGCTATGGTGCTACTGTAATGGTAGCTTTGGTGCTATTGTAATGGAAGTTTTTGTAATGGTAGTTATGAATGTTGAATTTTCAATATTATGAAGTTGTGATGATGTCAATAATCTCACATTAATATTAATCTTACAAAGTGGTTGTTGATATTAAAGAGTGCAAGAATGGCTGGAGTTTAGCAGCCTAAGCATTCATTTGTGACAGTTTGAAGAGTGCAATGGGCAATGAAGTTTAAAGAGTGATCAAATAACTATCTATAGAAATCAAATACATTACATATATACAACCTGATCCATTCACCATCACCATTAACCAGCACTGCTTATAGAAATCAGAAAAAAACTATACAATGCCTGATCCAAAAACCATCACCATCACAATCACAAACTATTGCAATCAGATCCAAAAATATCACCATCCAGAGGGGCAAATCCCAAACAACATTATAGTGTAATAATTTCAAAAAGACACTCCAGAGGGGCAAAGTATTCAACTTCAAACAACACACATGAACTGAAGCCAATACACAATAACTGTCATACAGTGCAAATCCTATTCAACTTCAAACAGAAGACCTAACATCTAAGAACTATTTGGCCACACTTTCTTGTGTTCCTGCAGTGCTTTGAACAGTTCTGGTCCTTTTGTCACCTGACATCTGAAAATGAATGACTATAGTGTTAGTTAAATAATTTTTCAATTTAGTAATTACTAACATGAATTAAAGAAAATGCCAACCCTTATATATATGTTGCCTGATTCTGGTGAAACCATAACTCCATAGCCTTTTCTTGTCTGCAATGAAACTTAGAACTTATACACATATATATAACAATTATTTCAAACTTTGTACAGAAGTTGGCATACCATTGCTCTTTCTTTGTATATTTGTTGTTTTCCAACCACAGCAGATTGGGATGGATTCCTTCTCATAGGGGTTTTCCTCTTTCTGACTTGTGTGGAGACAGAGCTTCCTGATTGTCCAACATCAACTGCATGATGAAGCTTATTTTCAGGAGGGCAAGATGTGGCTTTGGTTCTTGGCCTTCCTATTTTTCTCTGCAGTCCAGGTACAATATGAGTAGTTATCACAACATGACACAATGCAATTTAAAAAGAATAAACTGAATGAATAAATACTCACATTAGGTGGCCTTGGTGCAGCCTCATTTTTACAAGATCTTTTGTTATGTCCAATCTGCAAGCATTTTTGGCACCTCATTTGCAAGCCAAACCTCTTCAATTTTGAAACACTCTTAGCTTCTTCTTCAGGTGCCTTCTTCCTTGCCAAATTGGGTGTACCTGGCATTCTCTTATATGGAGGGGGTTTCACCATGGTCCCAGTGACAGAAGGCCACATTTTCTTCCCATTCATGGGTTCAAGTGCATATGAGTATGCTCTTATATATCTCTCTGTCCTAAAGTAGGGATTCACAAACTCTGAAACATCCCATTTGAGATAGAGTATTGTTGAACAAGCATGTATACAAGGAATGCCACAAATATCCCACTCTCTACATGTGCAACTGAAAGCCCTCAGATCAATAACAAACTGATCATCATAGATAGCAACCTGAAACTTATCACCCTTCTGCAGGTTTAGGGACACACAACCTACTTTTAAACTTAGCATCCTCAACTTTCTTCCTTATCCTAGGACATATGACATCAGTACACCCACCACCTGCCATCAACTTTTGGTGATGCCTTTCCATTACAGATGTTCTAATGAGTTACAACATCTCAACTATGGGTTTTTTCCTAGCCTTTACTATTGTGCTATTGAAAGTTTCACATGCATTATTCAAAATCATATCACATCTAGGCATGTCCATTATAAAAGCCTTACAGAATCTAAAAGTTTCTTTTTTCAAAAGATCCTTACATGCATCAGGGTCTTGATCATTCAAATCATCAATAGCTTCTTTGTAAGCTGCCTTATAGGTGATGTTCACAACTTTCCAGTAAAGGTCTTTTAGTGTTTTCCCAGGGTTATTCTTTTTCCAATTCATGTATACATGTCTTGCACAGTTCTTGTGCTCTGCATGTGGTGTCAGTTCCATAATGGAAGCAATAAGTCCCTACATTTTGAACAAGGTAAAAAATCAGTAAAACAATATGGTTTAGTTATGGTAGGAAATTATTAAGAACACAAAAAAATTGCTAACCTTCTGCTGATCACTGATGAATCTGAGCTCATTAAACAATATCTCCAAGAACCACTTCCAATTTTGTTCATTTTCTGAGTCTGCCATAGCCCAAGCTATAGGGAATATTTGGTTATTACCATCTTTACCAATGGCACATAACAAAAAACCTTCCACATATGTCTTAAGGAAACAACCATCAAACCCAATCACAGGCCTACATCCTTCCAAGAAACCCTGCCTTAATGAACTGAATCCAACAAAAAATCCCTTAAAAACACTACCAGCTGCCAACAATAGTTCAAACTTGCCACTCCTATCAACCCTTTGTAACTCTGCAATGTAGCTCCTCAAGCAACCATAATGCTCTTTTTCTGTTCCTCTAGAGCCTTATACTTGCCTCTGTACATTTTCCATCTAGATGGCTGCACTGCATATTTGTCAAGAATTTGCTCTTCTAGATCACCTACCTTCATCCTTGGTTTTTTTCTAAACTTCTCCAAGAACTCTTTTGCCACCCAACTTGATGATGCTTGCCTAGTGTTCATGTCCCTATGACACTTGTGTTCTGACACTAGTGTTTTAATTGCAACCATCCCTTCTGCTCTTACCAAACTAGCATACAATTTTCAAGGACAACCATCTGTACACCTAACTTCAACTTGTTTTTCACTACTTCTCATAAACTGAATATTTAAGCCATTATAAACAACATGACCTGTATGGTCTTTTTATCACACTGAGGATCATAAAACTACACACTTCTTCTTTGGCTTGCAAACAATATCACTATCATCTGAGCCATCAACACTCTCTTCATCAATGTTTATTGAATTATCACTATCATCTGAGTAATCACCACTCTTATAGTTTGTGATAATTTCCTCTATATCAGCTAATGAATCATCTTGGGCATTTATATGTCTCTCTCTCTCCTGGCAGACAGATACTCTTCATCATATGTTCCTAAATCACCTACAGACAACCCATCATCATTAGAACTATCTCCAGATGGTTCATAGTCTACATCTGTGAAGTCATCAACATCTTTCTGTACATCTCCAACATTCTCCTGAACTCCTTCATTTGATGCATTGCCACAGGGAACATCATTCTGACCCACATCCACATACACAGAAATATATTTCTCTCCACTATGTACTAAACTTAACATGCTCATCACCTCAACATCATTATGTATTTCTGTAAATTCATTTGAATATGGAAGCTTATAACAGACTTTCATCCACTCTTTGTAACCAAGTTTCTGTGTTTCTTCTTCAAGGTCAAGGAACCCAAATCTATCAGGGTCTAACTTGTGAATTGAATATATCTCACCTCCAAAATAATCAACAGACCCAGCAAGATTGATAAATTTCCCCCATGATTCAAATAAATACTGAAATTGTTACTGCAATTAGCAAAACGGATATATTTTCAGAAATTCTAATTGAAGCAAATCAGAATAAGAACATCATTAAGCATGAAAGCATGTAATTTCAGAATCCCTCTTTCAAATACGGTTATGACATGCAACATTTCAATTCAAAATGACCTTAAATATTGCGACGCCTATATGCAAGAGTACAGTTGTTCGATAACCTAGATGCAAGAGTATAAAATACGTATCAATGAAATTTGACAGCAACAAAACCTAAATGCAAGAGTACCTGTTCGCCATTACTGTGACAAGCTTCTTGGATCAGTGGCCACAAGAGAACATCTTTTATCGATCGACAATTTTTCAATTTAGGGTTCTGAGTCGATTTGGGATTTTCTCATTAATTTGGTTGATTTTATGGCATAAATCGGATTTTATACACATATACAAGATGATGTGGCATTTTCTTTTTCTCGTTTTTTTTGTCTGGACTTCCACGTGTGTTTTATGCGTTCCACGTAAGTTTCCGACGATGCCACGTAAGAAAACATCTGCCGATTTCATGCATCTGCCGATTTCCGTTTGCCATGCTTCGATTTGCCAAATGTCTAAAGCTGGTGTATTTAGTTGCAAACTTTGAAAGGTGGTGATTAAATTGCAAAAATTTGAAAGGTGGTGCATTTTCATGCAATTTTGCCAAAATATAAACAAGCTTGCCCAACTTTTTGAACGAATATCGAGACGTTTGATAAATTTTCAAAACCTTTTAACCTCTATGAATCATCATTTTTCTCTATTCTCTTGTCTGCTACGGAATCAGGAATATTCAGTATAATTTAAATGCGGACCAAAATAGTAGTAGTAGTATCATCATTACTTCCCACAGGCATGAAAAACTCGCGCATGGCAAAAACAACCTACTTATTCACCCTTCTCCATATCTTTCTCCTCACTCTAGCTTTTCCCTCCCAAAACAATTTCCTCCCCGACAACAACACAAGAAGCCGATGCTCTTAACTCCATATCCATAACACTTGCAACTGGACTGGCGTCACCTGCCGTGATAACCTAACTTCAATTTCCCAAATTTCATATTAAAATGTCCCAACCTCACTTATTTCCATTTGTCAAGCAACAGCCTGTCCGCTCGTATTCCTCAATCTTTATTCAATTCCTTTGTAGGAGTAATACAATCTTCTATAGGGCAACTCACGAATCTGAAGCGGCTAGATCTTCACATGAACATGTTAAATTCAACAATACCTGTGGAGCTCGGTCAATTAATGTACTAGGTTGACTTATATATATCTCTTGCCAAGAGTTCCCTTTCTGGGCCTTTGCCTCTATCATTGTCCAATTTAGCCAGTTTATCCCAACTTGGATTATCGGATAATAATTTGTGTAAGAAGAGAAAGTGTTTTAGTAAGTAACTAAGAAAAGTTTTTAAAAGTTAATTTGTTTTCGAAATTATTCTAGTAAAATCAGTATTTTCTTTAAGTATAAAAAGAGGGTGCTTACAGTGGGTCCCTACCCAACTCCATCTCCAACCTTTCTAAGCTTACCTTTTTTTTCCGTTTTCAACAATAAACTTTCAGGACCCATCTCTCAAGACAAGACCTGGGAAAGAAGAGTCTCCAACAATAGCTTTCAGGCCTTCTGACGCACAACTTATGGATTTTCGGGTACGTTGCTGCTCTGCCTCAGGAATTGCCGAGGCCTGAACAGTTATGGAAATGTGTCTAAAGCGTTAGAGAGTTTTGGAGGCTGCGTCTGGAAATGAATCAGTTATGTGATGACATTTGGAGAGTTTGAACCTTTCACATAACAATCTGTGTGGCCAAATGCCTAAAGCATTGTGCAGTATGGTGAGTCTGAGGGATATGGACTTTTCTCACAACAACTTATCGAGAGCGAGTCTGAAAGATATTTATGGACCCTCTCGCAAGCTAGAGCTTTGATCTTATCCGTGCTGCCATTGGAGTGTGTCTGCGTGGTATGTTTGTTTGTGGAATAAGGCTCTTATGTGTAATACGATATTACAGGTAATATCATATGCCCATTTCTCCAATTTAAGAGCATTCATGTGTGTACGATTTAAAAAGGAAAAAAACTAATATGTTGAGGAAGATTAGAAAAGGATAGCTTATTACAAACAACAAAAATTCCAGAGACAATGAATAATGTGATCGTGTCTTTGTATTTCATAACAATTTTATCCCACTCTTATTTATTAGGGCGGCTACAGTCCATGATGTAATGGTTCTCTTATTCTAATATAAGTTGCAACCAGGCTAAAGAAACTAAAAAAGATTAACAAGGAATATGACAAAAAATAGAGGGAGAGACAATTGAAAAGCGTGAAAATTTATTGATGCATGAGCATGAGGAAGTACAACTACTGAAAATTTATTGATGAAGAAGTACAACTACTGAAGGAAGCATTATTAGCTTTGAGAAAACTCTTTATTGCACAAACACAAACTAGCGTGCGAGAGAAGATGACGACAATAATGTTAACGTAAGTTGCACCTAGCGTGTCCACTGACTACTGCAACGAGACCATACGGGTCGGGCACCACTCCCGACAGCTTGTTGCCAGAAAAATCGGAATCATTTACAGCAACCATTTCGCACAGATTTGGTGGAATTTTGCCCGTAAATTTGTTGCCCGACAGGTCCAGCCTTTCCAAGTTGGTCAGCCCTCCAAATGACGGCTTGATGGCCCCCGACAGCAAATTATTACTCAGGTCTATCAAATACTCGGCACTATTCAAGTTGCCAATTGAATCCGGTACTTCACCTGTTAAACGGTTATAGCCCAAGTTCAAGCTCAGCAAGCGATTCAGATTCCCGATTTCCTCTGGAACAATCCCCGCCAATTTATTATGTGACAAAAGAAGAAACTGGAGTGCTGTTAGTTGCCCGACCTCCCCAGGGATTTTTCCGCTCAAATGGTTGTTGCTACTATCGAGATAAAAAAGCTGGTTCAGATTCTTGAGCTCGGCCGGGATATTCCCCGTTAGTCTGTTGGAGCTCAAGTTGAGGACACGCAGTTCCTTGAGATTCCCTAGATCGGATGGAATAGGTCCAGAGATTTTGTTATCATTGAGCAGAAAATCGGTGATGCGTGAGTTGAGGGCCCATGTGGACGGGATCTGGCCGGTGAATTGATTCTTGCTCAGGCTTAAGAACTCGAGCTGCTCAAGTGCGCCAAAACCATCCGGAATATTTCCCTTAAAATTATTTCCGTCGAGACGCACTCGTACCAGATTTTGGAGGTTGGAGATGGAGTTGGGAAGGGTCCCTGTCAGCATGTTGTTGCTGAGCAAAAGGAATTGGAGGGACTTGAGTTGCCCAATCTGGGCAGGAATATTCCCACTGAGTTTGTTGCCAACCAAATCGAGGGTCGAGAGGCTTTTCAGGTTCCCTATTGACTGAGGTATGTTGCCCGACAGAAAGTTTACCGCGAGGATTAACTGTGTCAGATTTATCAAATTCCCTATTTGTTGCGGTATATGGCCCGTAAAATTATTATTATTGAGTGCCAAAAGGTTGAGATTTGTGAGGAGGCCTATCTGGGGTGGGATTTTCCCTGTGAAACGATTTTTGTTGAGCCGTAAGGATATTAGTTTGGTCCACGAGGCGAGGAAATTGGATACAGGGCCGGATAAGTTGTTTTCGGATAATCCCAACACGGATAAGTTGATTAATTTTGACAGGGACATGGGCAGAGTCCCGGAAAGGGAATTCCTGTCAAGTGATAAGTAGGCCAGATTAGTGCACTGCCCGAGCTCGGAAGGAATTCCCCCACTGAAACTGTTTGACCAAAGGTCTAAATACTCTAGTTCTGTAAGTTGACCTAAGAGAGTCGGTATACCACCAGTGAGGTGGTTTTGAGAAAGATCGAGAAATGTGAGATTCTTACTGTTTAGTATGAAATGCGGGAATTCGGAAGTGAGTTCGTTTAGGGAGGCGCTAAAATAGGTTAAGGAAGGGAAACCACTGGTTTCAGATAATTTCTTATTAAAGCCATTGAGATAGTTGCCGCTAAAATCGAGGTACACCAGGTTCTGGAGGTAGGTGACCTCTAAAGGGATATCCCCGGTCAAATTGTTGTTGAAGAAAGTTAAATTCTGCAGATTGGATAGTTTTCCAATCTGGGGCGGAATGGCATTGGTGAAATTATTGTTGCTGAGGATTAAGGAAGTGAGGTTGGGCAGATTGCCAATATTTTGTGGTATGGAGCCGCTGAACTCGTTTCCGTTGAGGTCTAGAATTTGGAGGGAGGATAATGAGATGAAATCGAAATGAGCCAGAGTTCCAGTGATACCAGCATTGGTTAGGTTAAGAGCGATAACCAACTGATTACTATCGCAAATAATCCCATACCAAGTGCACAAGTTAATGGTGTTCTTTCTCGTCCATGTAATATCTAGAGGTCGGGGTATTGTTGATAAAGTGTTTTTCCATTTCAACAACGTTTTGGCTGCTCGGTTTGGATCTGCATGTGCTTTAGAAGATATTGGTTTGAGGAGGAAAATTGGAAGCAACAAAACGAGGGTGATTATTTGGGGAGTGTTCATCACTGCTTTTTTATTTGGTTGTGGTTGTTAATGTCACGATGGTGTTGTCCTATTTATACCAGAGCCCGCCTATATTTTAAATTATTTAAAAGTGATAGAAGACAATGAAAGATTTATTTTTGTCAAGTGCCTTTAAATAATATCTTGATGTTGTTGAAAGTAAAAGATTTAAAACGGAAGATATATTGTTTTTATCTCTTCATTTAATTAGGTTAGATACTAATAAGTGTAGTGTGTGTATATATACATATATAGGTGGGATCATATGAGAATGGTAGATAGTGAAAAAAATAAGAATAAATGTGTACCATCGGATCCAACATATCAATGGTCATGATCAAGTAAAAATTTAAATATAGTAAATAAGTGTCCAATTCGTGGTCAAATTTTTGCATTTAACTATAAAATGAGGGCAATGTGGTAATTACATAATCACTCAATAATTATCCACCTACATATGCGGGCCCCACAACCACTAACCCTCATCCTCTCACCCACACACACACACACACACACACACACACACTATTCAGCCCAACACAGGAAGATGAACATATCTGCTTAAGCCCGCCGTCCGCCGCCAACCGCCGTCCGCTGCCACCCGCTGCATTACTCTTGCACCATCTCTCTGTTTCCTCTCACGCCGACAGCTCATCCCCGCCACTCAATATGACTTCATCTTTTCCTTTACTCTCGGCGGAAGGAAGCCGACGACGACTGTCGTCGACCTTTTCATGGACTGGCAGGTTCGAAAATATCGCGAATTATAATTCCTGCGGACATCTTCTTTCGGTTCATCGGTTGCCTTGTCGTGGCCGGTTGAAAAATGAGTAGTATGAGGTGGCCGAGACATCTGGGTCGCACCTCGATTCAGGCAGCCGCTGCCGGGCTCGAGCCTGTGGTCATCAGCTGCGGGTTCTGTTGAAAGACATGAGTGGAGGATTTTATTTTAAAATTTGGGGATTTTGGAATTTGGGACTTGATGTTGTAAATTAGATAAGTTCCAAGGACTTATCTACAAAATACAAAATTATAACTTTTTTTCAATTCAATTCATGGGTTAAATTTGAAATTTATTAAAATTTGAAAATTGAACACCATGAATAAGTAAATTGCACAATATTGTGTGTATATACGCACATTAAATAATATTCTTATATTTATACGAACTTATTAAAAAATAATAAATACGCTATTTTCTGTTAGCGAAGTGCATAATATTGTGCGTAAAAATGCGATTT